ATATCTGTACTCTTGTTCCCCTCTCCCTCGTGTCAGTGTTGAATTTATAGGACTAAACTTAAGAGAATTTTAAATCAATCATGATTCCTCTTGCCTTATCAAAGAAAAACCAAAATTTATCTTCCTCAAGATGAATCACACTCTAACCCTATCACTGCCACTCATTTCCTTCCATTAAGTCTAGCCTTCCAAAAATATTAACCAGATAATGATGAAATTAGACTAGAACTAAATCACAAAATATTAAAAATAAATTAAATTCTACAATTGAGCTTGTATCAAGCTTCCCATCGACGAAAATTTTTGACAAAATGCAGTGTCTACAGTATGAAAAATATTTAACTTTTTATTAAAAATATAAATAACTTAAATAGGTGAGAGAAAACATAAAATTTGTATCTTTTGGTATAAAATAGATAAAAAGTGTCATAACATATTAAGAAAAAGCTATTATAATTCTAAACATAATATAAAGTAAGAACAATTGTTAAAAGATATTATAGTAACATAAATAATTAAGTCAATAATGTAAAATTTTAATTAATTATTATTTTATAAATATAAAAATAGGTAATAAATAATGTAAACAGGTAAAAGGAAATGTAAAATTCGTATAATTTTGACGTAAAATGGATAAAAAATTTCATAATATACTAAGAAAGAGTTGTGACAATTTTAAACATAATGGAATGTAAGAATAACTGTAAGAAGATAATATTGTAACATAAATAGTTAAGTTGGTAATGTAAAATATTAATTAATTATTATTTTTGTAAATATATAAGAAAAAATAGCTAAAAATTAAATATCAAATATCAAATAAATAACATAAACAAGTGATAAAAAACATAAAATTCACATTATTTGACGTAGAATGGGTAAGAAGTATCGTTACATATTAAAAAAAAGTTATGTCAATTCTTAACATAATGGAATGTAAGAACAACTTTAATAAGATATTATTATAACTTAAATAATTAAGCGAACATAAAATTTTTAATTTTTTTTGTTCATGTAAATGTATAAGAAAAATAGCTAATCAATAATAAAGAAGTATAAGTAACGAGAGTAAATGTAAAATTCGTATCATTTGATGTAAATTTTGTAAGAAATGTCGGACTTATAATAGTTTTAAATATAATAAAAAATAAAAACAATAATAAGAAGATATTATTGTAACGTAAATAATTAAATTAGAAACCTAAAATTTTTAAATTATTTTTGTTTTTATAAATATAAAAAAGCTAATAAATAATAAAAAAGTATATGTTACTTAAAAAGATGAGAATAAATGAAAATTTTATATAATTTGATGTAAAATGAGCAAAAAGTGTTGTAATACACTAAAAAAACTATGGCAATTTTAAATTAATGAAAGATAAGAAAAACTATTAGAAAATATTATTAAAATGAAAATAATTAAATTGATAACATAAAATTTTAATTAACTATTGTTTATATAAATATAAAAGAAAATTAGGTAATAAATAATAAAAAAATATATGTAATGTAAACCGATAAGAAAAAAATATAAAATTCATATCATTTGATGTAAAATAGATAAGGAATATCATAATACACTAAGAAAAAACCATGACAATTCTAAATGCAATGAAATTTAAGAACAATTATAAGAAAATAACATTGTATTGTGAATAATTAAGTTGCCAATATAAAATTTTAATTAATTATTATTTTTAAAAATATATAAAAAAATAGCTAAAATTTTAAAAAATAAATAAGCAACGTAAACAAATGGTAAATTTTGTATTATTTGAAGTAAAATGGGTAAAAAGTGTCATAATATACTAAGAAAAAGTTATAATAATTCTAAATGTAATGGAATATAAGAATAACCTTAGTAAGATATTATTGTAACATGAATAATTAAATGGGAACACAAAATTTTTAACTTGTTTTTGTTTCATAAATATATAAGAAAAATAGCTAACAACAAAAAATGTATATGAACGTAAAAAGGTAAAGATAACTATAAAATTTGTATCATTCAACGTAAAATGAGTAAGAAGTATTGTAACACACTGATAAAGGGTTATAACAATTATAAACATAATGAAAAATAAGAACAATTGTAAGAAATTATATTGTAACGTAAATAATTTAGTTGGCAATGTAAAATTTTTAATTTATTTTTGTTCTTAAAAATATATAAGAAAAACAAGTACAACATAATAAAAAATTATAGGTAATGTAAAAAGGTGAAAAAAAAATAAAATTCATATCATTTGGCATAAAAATAAGTAAGAATCATCTTAACATATTAAGAAAGAGTTATGACAATTTTAAATGTAATAGAAGATAAAACCAACTGTAAGAAAATATTAGTACAATGTAAATAATTAAGTCAATAATATAAAATTTTAATTAATTATTGTTTTTGTAAATATATAAGGAAAATAAGTAATAAATAATAAAAAAATATAGGTTTAGGTATACCGATGAGAGCAAATGTAAAATTCATATTATTTGACGTAAAATAGGTAAAAATGTTATAATATACTGAGAAAGAGTTATAACAATTCTAAACTTAACAGTATATAATAATAACCGTAAAAAAATATTATAATAACATAAATAATTAAATTGGTAACGTAAAATTTTAATTAATTGTTTTTCATATAAGTATATAAGAAAAATAACTAAAAATTGAAAAGAACAAATAAGCAATAAACAAGTGAAATGAAATGTAAAATTCGTATAATTTGTCATTAAATAGATAAGAATTGTTGTAACACAAACTAATAGATAACTATTTTAAAATGGATAAAAGGTGTCAAAATACACAAAAAAAAAAAAGACTAAGTAAAATAATTGATATTTTAAAAGTAAAAAATAAAAAAATTTATTAAGATGAATAATAAAATTTGTATTAATTATTGTTTTAGCATAATGTTATTGGTTAATAATGAAGAAATAACAAAATACTGTTTATTAAGATAATATGTGATGTTATTATTATTGAACTTTTATTTTAATGTTATTGGTAATGAAAATAGATAAAAACAAATACAAAATATGTAATAAAAACCTATTAACTTGTACTATAATTTTTCTTTTTTTTAATTTTATTATTTTTTAATTTCTCATGCCCCAATAAGATCCATAAAATTATGATTGCATAATTTTACTATTGACAAAACTGTTGATTTGAAAGTGAAAATTAAGGTTGCTAAATCTTATGGTCCATTTGGATTCGACCATTCTAACATTACGCGCATAATTATATCATATTTTGAGAGAAATCGTGTTGTATTTGTTGTTTGGATAATAATGGACCAGTGTGGTTGGTTCTTACCAACAACATTGTACCCACCGTTTGGGACTAGATCCCTAAAGGATTCGGTGAGATGCTTTAAGTGTAGTGCAATATTTATTTTTGAAAAAATCAATATTTTAAATTTTATCTCTTTTTTATCTTTGTAGGTATATTGTTGGGATAAAACTATCCTTGCCATTTAAGACTTTTCCTTCTCAATTTTTAAAAATTTTCAAGTTAAAACTTTTTAAATAATTTTGTTAATTTATTATAATAAACAAATTATTAAAAAATTGAATGCATAAAAAATTAATAAATAATTGAATAACTAATTCTAGTTATTTTTAATTTATTAACAAAAATATTATTTGATATAAAATATTTAATAATTTTTAATTATATATTAATTTCACAACTATCAAATATATATTACAAATTTTATTATATAAAAAATTTAATCTAATATCCTTAATAGTCAATATAATTTATCTCACCCTCATTGTTATATTTACATTCAAATGTATATATTCATAATTGATTTTAATCTTATTATTATAGTAATTAATTTTACTGCTATAATATTCAATCTTACTTCTATCATTATTTTCAATTTCATTGTTCATGCAAATAAACCATTATATTATGTTTGGATCGAGGGGATGTGAAGGAAATGAAAAGAAAATAAAGAAAAGTAATAGAAATAGAAAAAACCTTTATTTGTTTGGAATTTTTAATTTAAAAGAAAGAAAAGAGGTGAAAACTCAATAATTTTTTATTTTTTTTAATCTTCATTTTTTTTAATATCTCAATTTGAGGAAAAAACTAAGAAAAAAAAGTTGAAAAAATTTTTATTTTTATAAAAAGACTATTATATCTATATTTTTATTATAATATTAAATTTGATTATATAATCGACACTTTCTACAAAAATAAATTTTTTTTATTAGTATTTTATATAATATCATATTTATAAATATTTTATATTTTTTAAGTCTTAACAATAAAACAAACTAAATTATTGTCAGAATAAATTATAAGACTGAATTAAATATAAAATTAAGAGTAAATCAATAACTAATTAATAAATCTTATTGTAGTAAACATATTAAACTTTGTTTAGAAATATTTATTTATACAAGTAAGATGGTATAAAAATATATTTGTATATTATATGTTCCTTTATAAACAAAAAATTATAATTGAAAAAAAATTATAATTTTCTTTTCTTTTTTACTATTTATTCAAATAATAATTGTTAGAATTAATTTTCTTTCATTTTATTTATTAATTTTAACTATCCAAACAAGGGATATATGTACTTTTTTTTTTTCTTTTCCTTTCATTTTCTTTCCTTTATTAATATCTATTTAAACATAGTGTTAATTTTTATTTGACTGTAAAATGTGATTGCCCCCTTTACTTATATGAATGTAAATAATATTACACTGCTCTTAGTATCTCTTTTTGACAATAAAATTTTTATTAAATACTTGTTATTAAAATTAACACTTTTTGAAGAACTTTTGATTTTGATTTATAATTTCATCGACTTAGTTAAAAATCTTAAAAACTTCGACAACCAAATACCTGATTCCCGTTTTCTTTCTTTTTTTTTTTCAATTAATAAACTGTTGATTAAGTAAAGCCAAACACCCGCACCGTGTTGAAACTATTCATTCGAAGCAGACGCAGTATAATTACACATATACTTGATGGCCTAAATCTGAAGAAGCAAGATAAATATACTTACAAACAACACTCGGCAGCATTGAAGACTCCACGGACAACCATATTGTTACTCAATGCAAATTGCAATGCACTAAAAAAGAATGCATTTCCATAACCACTACTCTACAAATATGAACCATACAAAGGCCCTAAAGATAGGTAACATGAATTGTGCTCACATACAACTCTGACAATACAATTATGAGTAGTAGATTGCAAAATATAGAAAAGCCTTTCATCTCTTACCCTTTATAAATGAAGCCAAAAATTCATAAAAAATTTTGCGCGGGCATCCCATGTTTTTACCTGAAACTCGTTGTTAGTCACTAAGTGTAACTACAAAATCTTATATGTACAAGCTCAGTGAAATGTTTTCGATTGAAACAGGTCCAGAAGCTGAGCCTCTCTGTAGTCCTCTTGGTAAGGTTGACCACTCATTTTCCACTTCCTGTCCAGACAGGTCACATAAGCTGACCTCCTTCTAGTCCTCTTGGCAAGGTTGACTACTCTTTTTCCACTTCCTGTCCAGGTACATTGAGAAGCAAAGTAGTCAATTCGCCGGCCAATCTAAACTCTTATTGTCATTGCTTATAGTCCAAGCACCTTCACCAATTTCATCAAACAGTTGGTGCCAGCCCCAACTCGTGTAGCCAAAGAAAAACCAGTAGTCATTGATAGATTGATTTCCAGCCTTTAACTCTTCAATATTAGCAACTGTGGCCAATTGATCAAGAAAATAGATGCCGGGAAGGACTTCTAGATACTGATTTTCACTAACTCTCCTAGTTAAAGCAACAAAGGGCATTCCACGTCTTAAAACTGGGCCTCCAAAAGACAGAGGAGCCTCCTTCAGGAATTCGAAGCCTTCTTCAAGTTCATCTAAATTGTCCCATCTGATTTGCTTGTTAAAGATCAAACCCAGAAATCCAGTGTCTTCTTCTGCCTTCACAATGATAATCCTTGACTTATCAAATGCGATGACACTGAGAAGTTTATCAGTGGCCATAAGGATAGAACCAACAACCACCTTAGATGTGGCTTTATGTGAGCGAGTACCAGTTGATATGGGGGATCTAGACTTGCCCCCATTGTATTTAGCAACTCTTTTTGGGTTCTGGTTTTTCAATATAACTTCATGGAATTTGTCCTTTGCAGATGGACCTTCCTCATGGGCCGCAACTCCAGATGAATCCATGAGTAAACCTTGATTCCTCCTCCTCCTTCAGCGGTGGTCAATAAAATTCCTATCAAAACCAGATTAAAGTATGATTTTTCTCTTGACCAGAGATGGAAAGAAAAAGGAAAAACAAACAATACTTATTTCATACACAAATGATAATGTTCTGGAGCATATGCTTTCCTTCGTACAGTGACTAGAATCTTCATTTAGGACATCACTTATAAGGTTTACTATATATAGGAAACCTTTCAATAAGAATGAACAAGTATATGCGATTAGTAATTGCAGGACAAACTCAAATAATTCAGTTTGTTGCACAGGGGCTGCACATGGGAACTTAAAATTATTATGGAGGGAAAAATAAACCATGAGGCAATTCCAAAGTTAAGAAAACACCATTTAAATTCTTCTAAAGCTTAAATGGACAAGCAGAACATGCTTTCGACTAGCATCAGCAAATTTAGGATCCACCAATTTCAGACTTGGATTTGCATACCGAGAGCATTGCTAAAAGTGCTAGAAGAATCCTTTCTTCATTCTCAATCACAAAACTGAGCTTCGTCCTAATAAGCTATCTTACAAGGTATCTTATAGTGCCTTTACTGCTATTATTCTCCTTTTGGAAGCATGACGGGTGCCAAACTGGTGGTATATCAATTTAAAAAAGAACATCACATTGAGAAGGCTGAGACAATCTAGTAAGAACACAGATAGAAGAAATACAACTAGAAATGTGGAAACTGCATTCAGTTACAGACAGAAGAATGAGTCTAGTGAAAATCAAAGTCACTGTCAGATAAATATGAGAGTCAAATTACTTTAGTAGCTTGAACCATGTAGAGAGTCAGAATAAAGGAAACTAAAAATACACAGAAGCAACTAAGTCTATACCAACAGGAAATTTTAAAAAAAGGAAGAAAAGGTGGAAAGGAAGAGAGAAGGGAATAGATATGCATGAACAATGGTTAAAAACAGGATGAAAACATCAAAGTTTATCAGTTTCCTTCGAAGATTTGTAAAAAAAAATGTCCATATGAATGGTGACTCATAAGATGTTACCTTTCTCACTGAAAAGATGACGAGAATTATGTCCATGATCAGCTATAAACTTGATTATATTAGCCACAGACATATCTCCTTCGTAAGAGACAGCTGTTTCAGTTTCAGCTGGGAATATCATCAGAGAAGGATAAACTTCCCTCTGCAAAGCCCAAGTTTATTGAAAGGACAAAAAAGTAAGAAAAACTAAAAAAATTATTGTTTTTCTGCTTTTATGAAAATAGTTGTTTTCTTTTGCAACAATGGATGCATACAATTTTAGCATAACATATTCAGAGAACTTTCCTTTTATTCAAATAATAATGACTGGTTTGCAACTCTGGAATAGAATGAATTCTAGATAGATTAGGTGAGAATATGAAAAAGTACAAGGAAAAAGGGAGACAGCATGCATGCGGAAACAATGACCTATGAGAGATTAAATGATTGCAGGAATAGGTCTTAAAATACTTCTCTTTTTAATCTTTCTTCAGCCATGGGGTGTATCATTAACTCACTAGAATATCCACCTGATGTTTTGAAAATAGGCCTATTGAAGGAGAATGGAGATATCCTAATTAAGAGACTAAGTTATTTAGGATTTTATTTTATATTTTATGGGTTTGATTGTAATTTTTATAATTATATATGCTATTTCAGCTATTTTAGATTATATAGGCTATTTAATATTAATTAGTATTTAACTTATTCTCTTAATATTAGGGTTTTTGGGTTATAATTGGTACTTTATATTTTTAATAGGGTTTACATTTAGTTATAAATACCTAAGTTGTGATAGTTTTAGGAGGCTTTTGATTATAGAATCATTGAGATTTCCGAATTTAGAGTATTGAGTTTCTTGTCCTTCATCAGTAACTGATATTAAGAATGCAATACGCACAATTGGAATCTATACCATATATAATGCTCTTGATTGAGTTTGGTGTCACTGAGTCAAGTGACATCAACTAAAGTAAAAATATTATTTAAAAAGCCAAAAAAAAAAGAAAAATAATGCAGAATTAAGGGTATTTATGTCTTTTCATTTTTATTAATAAAACAAATTCCTTTGTTTCACATGCAATTAGAAAAAAAAAAAAAAAAACTCATTGCATAACTTCCTTTTTATTTTTTTTCAACTCATCATTTTTTTCTTTTGGTCTTTTGCACCCATGTAGTGTGTGTGCCAAAATCTAATAAAGTGTAAACCATGTACTGGAGATCTGATGCTTCCTCCTTTAGTAAATTGACCAAGGGACATATAATATATATATATATATTAAGTTCATTGCTTAAAAAAAATTTATGATGCAGTAGATGGTTGGAAAAAAATTACCATATTTCACAAAATAATAAAAAATGGATATAAAACAAACCTTGTTTACTGATTTTAGGATTAAACTGCAGTCATTCAATGTGCAATCCATCAAGTAGATGAGTGGAAGTTTCATATTACTCATAGAGTTCTCTGCCACAAATATAAAACTTGTCAATACATAAATATTTAAGGACCATTTTTCTCCTTTTAACATTCTTTCTACCACACACACACACACACACAAAAAAAAAGTTGTTCAGGAATCAAAAAAATAGCACAAAGAAGTGAATCTCATATTTCTAATGCAGGAAGCAGCATTTCATAGCAGATAGCACATAGATCACAGATTTCCTCAATTTTATTTGTCTTGTTGATAAAACAGAGTACCTACAGATTAGGTGGTTTATCCCCTTAACTAGAAATAAAAAAGAAAAACAAGATTTGTTGCATTCAAAAAGGCCTTGAGATGCATGTTGCACTCAACTACCAAAACTACTTACCATAAAATTCTCTGAAGAGGACTGCTGCTCAAAGCATAAAATAACACCGAGAAAAGATAGGGATAATCAATAAATATTCCCATTCAAAGACAAAGCCAAATGTAGCTCCCTGCCTTGCATGCTAATTAACAAATTTACACAAAGAATGCTTCTTCAGGATATTAAGTCACATGACTATTTCAGTAAGGAGTACACTGAAAGTTATAGGTCTCATAATGACCAGCAGGATAAAGAAGTTAACAGTGACAAGTAAATATATAAATGTGAAAACCACTTACCAGCATTAAACACTGCTTGCTCTTTCCCAGAGATGCTCTTCATCATTTCCATGTAACCCCTTATAGCCCGATATACTTCACGAACAACCAACTCCATTCTTTGGCAAAAGCCACACCAATTACTACTAAAAAGTACCACAACATCCTCATTGCGAGCATGGGCAGCATTTCCACTGTTAGATTGGTTAAAACCAAAAACAAGCTTGGACATGGTATGCATCGTAACTCGAGGGATAGAATCCATTTCATGAAAATCCTGATTAACAAATGGCGGAGAAGTAGCCTCCCTTGGGCTGTGAAGAATGGGCGCAGAGCGTTGATAGGGAACAAGACTTCCATTAAGATATTCATGAAGAAAATTAGCAAGCGAAAAATAACTGAAAATTGCCTCATCAGGATAGACATAATGGTGCTGGGACCTAGGATCAACTAAAACCAATGAAGGAATTGAAGACCCACCAGTCAAAGATCTAAGTAGTCGATAGTTATCATCACATAAGAAAAAAGAACCCTTAAACCCTTGAAACTGAAGTTCTTGTTCTCCTGACTTGTCTATCTCTGAAGAAATTTTCTCTTTTGCCTTCAAATCCCCAGCTATATTGAGCTCAAGACCTTCCAAAAGTTGTTCAGTTTCTATAGATATTAAATGTTTACTTTTATCGGAAGAAATTCCCTTATCTTCATTGTAAGGAGAAAAAGGTTCAACATCAATTAATTTTGGATTTTCCTCATGCAGCATGGCAGATTTGCTTTCCATTGGTATACTGTGTGGATCAACAATACCAACTAAAGGACCTTCCAGAGATGGTGGTGGTGAGACATCATTAGATTGACCTTCTGTTTGTGATGGTGATTCCTGGGCCATTTTGATGTCAAGATCATCCGATAAAAGATGAAGGCCTAATTCCCTAGCAAGTGAGCTCAATTTTGCTTCATTCTTTCTCTGAAGAAGATATGCTAAGATCTCATGCAAAGATTTGCCTTGCAAATCTGAAGCTATATTATCTACAGTGACATGTTTACCCTCATTTATAATCATGAAAGACATCTTATCCTTTAACTTAATCTTCTGAGCAGTTTCGGATAGCTGTAGCCTAGAATGTCCAGGTGTACCCTTATAAGCTAGGAGTGAGGATTCGTCTTATGGTCAGTATTTTGTGAACTCATCCAATCCAACAACTGATAGCAAAGTGCTACTTCTCTAAATGCATCAAGAGCTTCTCTACTTTTTCTTCTAGTTTCTAATGAGCCAGAAGATCTATCTACAAAAAGGATTACTGATGGCTTATTTGCAGGTAAAGCAAGCTGAAGATCTTGGCCTTCAACTTCTAGCTGCATTGTTCGGGGAGTGCATGAGAGACAGAAAGAAAGAGATACAATCAATATAGGAAAGACAAGCTATAAAATATACATATATACATACACACACACACACACACACACACACATATATATAAGGAATCAATATAAGGGACTTAAATATATATTAATGGCAAATATGCAAAAGTATAGCAGCTGAATCTACCATTATACCATTATACCTCCCTCATGCATGCAAACAAATTATACCACTTTTGCTAACAAAATTCACATTTCCCGGTCATAGATTAACAAATACTTAATTAAAAAGCGTTCCGTAATGGAGTAAAAGGCTATTAAGTTACAAACTGTGCTTGTTTTATGCATTTTAATGGCAAACAATCAACCATTAATCAACCCAAGATTATTCTTTTTCCATAAAGCCCAAAACACCATAAAAAAAGTCATAAACTTATATTATTAACTTAAAAGGCTTTCACCAAAATCTTTTGGGGCACTGAGATGTAGAAATATTCGTACCTCACGAACAACCGAATCGTCTGTCAGAAAAGCACTCTTGAGTTTATCCCCATCTTTAATAACTTTTGAACAACCAGGACATCCTTTGAAGTAAAGCACTGCCATCCATGTACCAGAATCTTCAACACCAAGAGATGACATCAATGATCTATCAGAAACCAACCCAAATCTAAACCTTTCAGGAGGCATTAAGAACTCTCTTCTAACGGCAATCAACTTCGAGAAAAATGAATCAAATTGCTTAAACTCTTTCAAGGTACAGCTCAATCCAAGACCATGTCTCAAATTCTCACTCTCCAGGAAAGATCCACTGTCATTTACCAAGCTAAACCCGGTAATCCAAGGAATTCCAGCAATCCCATTTTCAACAACACATTTCAGGTTCCCATTTTCCATTCCCTGAATTCCAAAACAAACAAAAGTTTAAGCAACATTACCCCTAACGCAAATTTTCCATTCTTCAATTAAATTTAATCTGCAAATGAAATGAAATCAGAATCTAGCAGCAACATTAGGCGTCAAATAATTTCCAGTTCCATTGTTCTTGACCTTAGCCAGTAACCTGGGAGCCCAACCACAAAATTCCGCCAAAATTAAAGCTTTGTCAGTTGATTCGAGAAACACTTTCAACTCCTCCTGAGAATTAAGCGGCTTTAAAGGAAGTTCTTCGGGTGAAGCCGATATATAAGGATAAATAGAGTTTAATATATTTCGAGCTCGAAGCTTTCCTTGGTATTTGTAAGATCCGGAGTGATGATAGTAAAAACCCGTTATTCCCTCTGAAGCACCAATCGAATCCGCCAACATTTTCTCCGTGTTTCTATAAATAAACATCAATTTCAAAGAGTCAAACTCCTTCGACTTGTCGGTGACTAACCGAGACACTTGCCTCATAAGCGACCGAGACTCGCCGCACCCTGTAAAAGAAAAAGAAAAAAAAGTGACTAAAATTTATACATTTGTAACCCTAAATTGAATTAAAAAAAAGATTTGATTTAATTTGTATGTTACATGGAACAGTGACAAGGAGGAGGGTGTGAGGGTGGAGACGGATCTGAGAAGAGAAGTTTCGTTCGGTGAGGATCTGCCATTCTCCTACGCCGTCTGATGCGCAAACAACGGCTGATAACGACGCCAATAAAGTAATCCAAATCGGAAGCAAGGACAACTGATCCTTCATCGCCAAAAACAGTTGCTGTGCGACGAAAACAAAGACACTGCACTGTCTCTGCTAAATTCCCACTTCCCAGGTTGAGTAGCCGAAGGAGACCCCAGCAGTGCAACTGGTGCTATGAGTCTGATTCTGATGCGTATGGATTTTATGATTTATGCTGAAGCCAAAATCTTTTCAAGTGATAATTGGATCGGAATGGGTGCAGTTTATATGGAAGCCTGAAGCAAATTTCACCTTATTAACTGAAACTTTTTTTATCTTAATTATATCACAAAAATTTCTTAAGTATATTAAAATTAGTCATTTTAACATATTTCATTCAAATTGTGACAAAAAAAATGACATTATTATTATGTCATTAACCATATTAAAATCAATTAATTAAATTTATATAATTTTATGCAAGGTCATTAAAAAATTATTAATTTTAAATAATTTTCTGAACTTTAATTTATTATTATAAATTATTAAATTTTGTTAAATGTATTAAATTTAATTATTTAATAAATTAAATTCAAAATAAAAATTAAATAAAATCTAAATATTGAATTCAATCAAACAATTTTGCTAATGAGATGAAAAGGTTATAATTGATTTTTAAGGAGTTTTCATTATGTTTGAAGGATGTGTCATTCTATGTGATGACTTGATAAATTTTAAATTTGTAAATGAATATATAGATAAAATAATTATGAATGATAAAGTCCATTTTTTATTTTTTTAAATAAATAAATAAGCTATGATTAAAAGATATAATTTGTTTTTAGATTTAACATTAAAATTTGATAAACATCAATTAGTTGGTTGAATAGGCAAATTGTCTAGCTTTTGCTAAAAAAAAAAAGCTAAATTGCAAAACCATATGCACATATTTATAGTGATTTTTTATTTTTAGGACCATCTATCACTACCTAAAATAAATTTCATGGATTTATCAGTGATTTTTTAAAGTTATTTATCTTTAATAGCTTAGCGTGGAGTTAGATGTATAATGTGATGCAATTAAATTTAAAAAATCATAAGTGAAATTCAAATAAGAAATTAATGAAACATATTTGATTATACGTAACATAAAATTTTCATTGAAACTTTTAAGTTTAGTATAATTTTTTTTTATTAATCATAATTATAATTATTTTTATTTTTATTTTTTTAAAAATTAATTTTACTGTCTATTCAAAAAATTTTTTACTCATTTCACATATTTCTCCTTTTTATTTTTAAAAATACAAAGAAACATATATTTTCACATATCTTTAATTTTCATAAAATAATTTTATGCATTTAAAATTAATAATTAATAAAATTATAAGTAAATATTGCATATATTTAAAAATAATAAATAAATTACTATATAATCCGACAAAACTCACAATTAAATTCCACTTTATCATTAAACCTAAAAGGTTTCAAACCTCGATCCATACTTAAGCTCAAAATTAGTCACTAAATACTTGTTATCAATGAAAAACTTTTTTGAAAATATGAAATAGAAAAACAATTACTACAATTATAAAACAAAAGCAAAAAAAAGTTATATTTGGAATCTAATTTTTTTTTTTTTTGAAATAATTAGAATCTAATGTAATTAGTTAAAGTAAATAGGGAACAACAGATCCCATTCCTAGATTCTACTTATTTAGAGATAAAACAATAAAAAAGTTAGCGCTAGAATATGAATGAAGGCCACTCTCTGTAACAACAATTTAGGCATCCTTGCTTATCCTTGTCTACTAGCGGCGCCAAGGATTGGGCTATCTAGGGTTTTCAGTTGTCTCTCCGTCATCACCAGTAATCGTCCGCCTTGTTCTTATTCATCTCTTGCTAAATCCGCAACAATGCCGGGCGTTGACCCGCCGGAGACGGAGTGGCCTGCAAAGAAGGTGAGGGACACCTTTATCAAGTTCTTCGAAGGCAAGAATCACGTTAATTGGATGTCTAGTCCCGTCGTTCCACACAATGATCCCACTCTCTTGTTCGCTAATGCGGTACGCTTTACTTTTCTATTTTCAATTAGTTGCCGTCACAACTTCAATTTGTTGAGTTTTTAGCTCCTTTGTATTTTTGGTTATATTTGTTTTCCCTACATATTTGTTTAGTTTATTTGTATATAACGAAGTATTCTTTCTTTCCGAACTCTGTGATACTAAGTTTTTTTTTTTTAAATATGGTTTGCTTTTATTTTCCTATCCAAATTGACTAAATTTAGTTTAAAAATATCTTGATTCGATTGTTTTTTTTCTTCTTGTGATATTACAGGTATGAACCAGTTCAAGCCGATCTTTTTGGGGACTGTGGATCCCAACACTGCTATGAGCAAGCTTACCAGGGCGTGCAACACTCAAAAATGTATTAGAGCAGGCGGGAAGCATAATGATCTTGATGATGTAGGGAAAGACACTTACCACCATACCTTCTTTGAGATGTTAGGAAATTGGTCTTTTGGGGACTATTGCAAGAAGGACGCCATTGAGTGGGCTTGGGAACTCCTTACTAAGGTATATCCTTATGCATTTAATTGTTTTTGACATTTCAAAACATATATAATTTCTAAACACTTGATGGGCGTATCTTTTAATGGTTTTCTCTTCATGTAGGGATTTTATAGCAATTATATAAGTTTGGATTTGAATGCTGGGTTCAAATTGTTGTCTTGTACAAATAGGCAACTGCTTTTGAATTTTGCTTTTATATTTTTCTACTTGTTTGTTGAACTACAGGTTTACAGCCTGCCTATAGATCGGATTTATGCCACATACTTTGGTGGTGATGAAAAAGCTGGTCTTCCACCTGATAATGAAGCTAGAGATATATGGCTCAAATTTCTACCCCCTGGACATGTACTGCCATTTGGTTGCAAGGTATGTTTTTCTTCAATTCTTTTTCTTTTTTCCTGTTAAACTTTGGAACATCTAGAGTTCTTTTTTACCCCTGTGTTTGTGTACTTGCATGTTCATGTGTTTCTTTTCTTGCTATATTTGGGCCATGAGATGTCTTCACATTTTCTGCTATCTTGAGATTATATTGGGAATCTTCCTTTACGTGATATCTGTTTATTCTTCTTTGTTGATAAACTAAGCTATTCTTTGTGCACCTCATATATATTTTAAAACTTCTCCTGAAATTTGAATTTGAATGTTATATACTTTCTATATGTCTATGTGTGCATTTGTGATTTGTTGAATGTTATGATTGAGATCTAGTGTCATCTATTTTATGTCTTATTTGAAGAAGGAATTTTTTGATAAAAATAGTGTGGCTTAGTTCTGATATTTGCATTGCATGAGAAGAATTATGCATGAAAATCTTTATAGTTAACTGTATCTCCATGTAATGGAGAATTAATTTGGTTTATCTGCACCCTATTCTTTCCGGTCATTTTAACATATTACTATTATTTTCTAAAGTTTGGAATACATTTGAACAATAGGATTCTAGGTCTATCTAATTGGTTTTACCCTTTTTTGTAGGACAATTTCTGGGAGATGGGTGAGACAGGTCCTTGTGGGCCTTGCACTGAAATTCATTATGATCGAGTAGGCAATCGAGATGCTGCTTTATTTGTGAATAATGATGATCCAACATGTATTGAGATATGGAACCTTGTTTTTATTCAGGTACACTTTGTTGTATTGTCTTATGGTTAACCTCTTATCATTTCTTTTATTAACCTATCTGATATGCATTTAGGCCATCACTCTTAGAATTCAAAGTAACCCCAGAATATAGCCTGCTGATATGTGTGTGCCTATCTCGTTTTTTTATTGGACCATAGGGAGATTACTAAATCTGCCCTAACTTATTTTATGTTAGCATGTCATGCTGGCCTTTTATGCTAATGTGACATTTGGATTCCTGTAGATTTTTCACTGATGTATGCATTACTCTTATACAGTTTAATAGAGAAAATGATGGCTCTTTAAAACCTCTGCCAGCAAAGCATGTTGACAGTGGAATGGGCTTTGAGAGATTGACTTCGGTACTTCAGAACAAGATGAGCAATTATGATACTGATGCGTTCTTGCCAGTTTTTTATGTTATCCAACAGGTTAGATGATGATGCCCATGGAGATTTTTTCATTTTTCTTTATAGCATGGTTCTTCATATCTGTAAGTTTCTAAATGTATATTTACATATGTGCCATTTCAAGGTTGATATTAGTTCATGTACTGCGTGTTAAGACCTGATATTGATACTATTGTTTCTTTCTCCTAGTTCTATCTTTTTCTTGAAATCATAATTGTTCTTGTAAATGTTCCATAGGAAGGAAAAGGAAAAAGGCACTGTATAATTTCTCTATTCAATGATGTTCATCTACGATAACACTAACATACACTTACACTTGATGCTGATTTATATATGGAAACCAAGGTTGATACATATAAATAATTATGATACTTTTCTTGATCTTTGCCAGTGTATGTATATTTTCCATTTATGTTAGAGAATGTGTTCCTTAGTTACTAGTCCGATCACATATTAACATTTGATGCTTTCTTAATCTTTTATTGAACTATTCTGTTAAATAATGATGTTAAATAAAGGATGTTGAAACTCTGAAGCTATTCAGAATGCTTTTTTTGAAAGTTTAACTGACATGTCTCTATTTGACTGGTTTCTTTAAAGGTTTTTGTAACTAAAGCTAGAATGTGGAGGATCGCATGCATAATCTTTCTTTGTTCTCTCTTTTAAACAGGTCACAGAGACACACCCATATTCTGGAAAAGTTGGGCCAGATGATATTGACAAAGTAGACATGGCATATAGGGTTGTTGCTGATCATATTAGAACTCTGTCGTTTGCCATTGCTGATGGTGCTTCTCCAGGTAGATATTGGCATTAGATTTCTTGTTGAATGTCTGTTTAAATTTTCAGGTTAGATACGGTGGTCATCTCTCTTATGAATGATCGTCCATTTAAAAAAGGGGAACATTTTGTCCTCTTGTGATTGTTGGGGAGGCTTTTGGATTGACTGTCTTTGATTTGTCTGTCAGCTGATGTTATGTGTGTACAATGTAAAGAAAAGTGACTAGTAATTGGATTAGTTTTTGTTTCCTTTGCATATGCTATTAGCATATATGATAGTGTGGAGTAGACTGTGGGTTCCTTTTTGCTATCCTTTTCAGGCTGTGTTAACTTACTTTATGTTATCTTTTTAAGAGCTACTTTGTGCAAAACTGCTGGGCTGTGGTGTTTGGTGATGATAAAACATATATTGACAATGATAAATCCTCTCTCCAAGTTTATATT